GAATTTATTTATCTTTTAAAAAATATTTATTTTTTAGTTGTAGTTGAACACAATGCCTTTATTTTATTTATTTTTATGTGGTGCTGAGGATCAAACCCAGGGCCTCTCACGTACTAGGCAAATGCTCTACCACTGAGCCCCTAATATTGAAATTTTATGTATAATTTTAAATAATTTAAGCAGAAAGTGTTCATTAGGGAGAATACACAAGACTACTTCCTTTTCTTCTAAATGATTAAAAATAGGCCCAGGCACAATAATTTAGGTAATAACAATAAGAAGAAAACAGCAGGTTTAGTTTGAAACCAGATCTTGTAATCGTTGGCTGCACTTGTCGCAAACATGTTTTCTTCAAATAAGCATCAAGCATTTCCCACTACCTCTTTCTTTTTGAGTTCAGACACTGAATTAATTTCACGGAAACCTCACTGCCTTATTTCTGAATACTTCTTTATCTTCCCCTGAGAAGATTCAGCTACAAGATAGTACAGGATATCTTTTCCAGCTATGATTTCTATTTTAAGGAAAAGTTCAGACAGGTCTTCTATGTGGTTTAATGCAAAAACCTGTGGAATCCCTGTTTTAGGAGTCTTTACGGAGGTTGGAATTTGTGCCTGGTTGGGATCATCTACTTGTGACCCTGTAGAGGCTGAATAATGAGGAAGATGGTTTTGCTGTACTTGGCTGTGGTCCAGTGAGTCTCCTCTGAGAAGTGCTATAAATCACTGGTTGTTATGTAAAATGTTGCAACTGAAGCAATGACTAAGCTTTATAGAGAAAACTTAGGTAAACTTGCTCAATGCAGTTAGAAGGAAAAAAAAAAGAACAATGAATTTTTTCATCTGGTTCAGATAAATAACAGATGCTATAATAAAAAAAATTGGGGAAATACAGAAAAACAGAAAGAAAAACATAAAAATCACTTATGACCCGGCACGTAGAGATACTTGTATGTAATAACAACTTAAATTCAAATTTTGTTTTTATTTATTTATTTAGGTATGTATGTTATATATGCACATATGTTTTGTGCTACTGGGGGTTGAATCCAAGAGTTCTCTACCACTGAGCTATAGCCCCAGCCCTTCTTATTTTATTTTGAGACAAGATCTTGCTAAAGCTGCCTGGGCCGGCCTAAAACTTCTGACCCTCCTGTTCCGGCCTCTGTAATAGCTGTTATTATGCACCACAATTCCCAGCCAAATTCAAGCTTTATAACAGGCTTCTCCCTACCTCCACTTAATAGCAAATTGTAAACATACTCCTGTGTCATCGAGGATTCTTTGATTTTAAGTGAGAGCCAATATGCCTGCTTCTTAGGATTGAGCCACCAGAAGTAGAGACTTGGGCCTCTTAGTGAACAGTGGTGGCCTCTACTGCCCACATCTATATCTTTTCCATTGAGTCCATAACTATTTCTGATATGCAATGCCAAATGGCACCAGGTCTCAGCTGGATGACTTGATATTTTTTATTATCTATTTACTTATTCTATCTATGGGCCTAATTAGAATTTACAAATAAACACAAACTTTCACATAGATATTTCAACTTTCACACTGATGGTTTCCATGAAATTTGCTTCAGTGATAAAGTGAATGGAATTCATATTTTTACTTAGATGATCTGACATTTTTCACTTATATTGAATAAGGGAATATTTCCAAGACAAAAAGTTAATTTATAAAAAAGAAGGGGGAATACTAATTTGAATTTGGTTTCCCAAAGCTCTAGCCAAATTGTTGCAGATTTACCAAAAGGTAAGATGTAAATTACCTCTTGAAGTGAAGAAGCTTGCTACTTTTGGGTAAACCATTTTATTGGGGGGAGGTGGGTATGGGGATTGAACTCAGGGGCACTCAACCACTGAGCCACATCCCAGCCCTATTTTGTATTTTAGTTAGAGACAGGGTCTCGCTGAGTTGCTTAGCACTTTGCTTTCGCTGAGGCTGGCTTTGAACTCGAAATTCTTCTGCCTCCGCCTCCCAAGCCTCTAGGATTACAGGTGTGCACCACCACACCCAATCTGGTAAACAATTTGTTATTGTTGCTGTTTTTTATTTGATTTGATGCAGTGTTTTTAAAATGTTTACTTTTTGCTTTTTAAATTTTTGGGGGGACTAGTGACTAAATCCAGGACTTTGCACATGCTACGTAAATACACTCCCACTGAACTACAGCCCCAGCCCTTCTCAACCATTTTTAACACTATAAAAGGAATTTTTAAAACAAGCAAAATCTGCATCCATTCAAAGCCAAAAATCTATACATATTCTGGGCATTTGGGTAAAAAAAAAAATTTTTTTTAAAGAGCTACATGTAATTAAAACCATTGGTCTTTTTATTTTCAACTCAGAATGTACCCTGATTTCCTTGTGTTGGTTTTATGTTTCCATAAGATGCATTTTATTCACTTAAGAGACCTTCCTGTTCAAATCATGAACTGACAATCCATAGTAATTCTATCTAGAGTTGTGTGGCTTTCAGACAAGAGTGACACACCTAATCCAAGAATCAATGCGTGCCTGTAGCAGCTTCCAGAGCTTTTTCAGGAGAGCAAATAAAATTTATTTTCACAAGTCATTCTCATTGCCAGCAGAACTTTTTAGTAGTACATGTTTATTTATATCATGGTAATAATTAATAAAATATGGTGTCTAAAAATGAATATGACTGAAAATTGTGCCCTAGATACCAAAGCAGGGAAAGAGAGGCTTCTTAGGAAAATAAACAATACAAAAAGAGGCAAAGAACTATTCTTTAAAAGTGCAAGGAAAAAGAGAGAGAGCAAAGAAAAATGCTTCTCTTTTCTTGATGAGAAAAATGGTAATTTTTTAAAAAAAATAATTTTTAGTTGTAGATGGACACAATAACTTTGTTTATTTATTTTTTATGTGGTGCTTAGGATTGAACCCAGTGCCTCACACGTGCTAAACAAACTCTCTACCATTGAGCTACAACCCCAGCCCCAATAGTGGTAATTTTTGAAGTTTAAAATAGATCTTCACCAAATAAGCCATTTGGAATCAGGATGGAGGAAAACAACTTGAGAAGTTGACTACCCACCTGTGTGAGAGTACTTGCAAATAATATTTAAATGGTTTAGATCTATCCTGTATTCAAGGATACCAAAAATACTAGTTAAATTCAACTGGCTACTATCAGAAAGAAGCATAAAGAGGTACTATGAAATCAGGCTGTGCCATCTGTTGCATTTGTAGCCCTAAGCATAATATTTAAGCTCTCTGCGCCTCAATTTCCTTCTTTGCAAAGAGAGATAAGTCTAATCTGGTACCTTCCTCATAATTTTTCGGATCATTAAGTGAGGAAATGCCTAGACACTGCTTAACTGGCACATGTTAAATACACAATAAATGGTAAACCAGTCTGACCATTATTATGCATTTATTCTTAGGATTTGGTTAAAAAGATGAACAGAGCAGAGACCAGCAAACTGAGGAAGAAAGCAGCACTGTAGAACTAGGGGGAATTTTCCACTCAGTCCCTGAGCTCTGGCCATATTTTTCTCTAGATGTCAGTTAGCAATCCAATATGAAAACAGGTACAGGGATTTGGAGGACAGACCCAAGGGACCAGAAAAGTGAAGGGGTGAGCGGTTCAGTGGAGGTTTGGGGTTGAGAGGTGAGCATGAAGTTGGTCCCCTGCCCATTGGGGAAGAGCTACCATACAGAGCTGTGTGGTCTGCATCTCTCTCTTCTAGGTACATCCAGAGAGGAGGAGGGCTCCCATGACCGAGGGGAAGGCCGATCATGGTGATGAACATGATCGTGAAACCTAGGGATTCATGCCAATGGTAAAAATCATTAACCTTTAAAATGATCATTGGATGATTTAAAAAAGACCTTACCTTTTTCTTCCACCAAGACCTTGTTTATTATTTAAAAATTATTTTTATTTTGGTACTGAAGATTGAACTCAGGGGTGCTTAACCACTGAGCAACACCCTCATCCCTTTTTAATATTTTATTTAGAGACAGGGTCTTGCTGAGTTGCTTAAGCCCTCATTAATTGGCTGAGACTGGCTTTGAAACTCCTGATCCTCCTGCCTTGGCCTCCAGAACTGCTGGGATTACAGGTGTGCACCAACCAGCATGCCCAGTATGACCACCCTATTTAAACATGTACATCTTCAAGCTTCCTATCTCCCTTCTCTGCTTTATTTTCCTTGAGCACATTGGAACACAATGCATTATTAAATTGCAGCATGTTTCTTATCTTCCTGGTAAGTGCAAACTAATAAAAGTAGACTCTTCTTGTTCTTGTTTTGCCTGCTATCTTTTAGTACCTACCACAATGCTTAGAAAATAGTATTATGACTGTTTAATATTTGCAAAATGAAAAGAAAGGATAAATTCTCAGTTATCTTAAGGTATTTATAGTGTGGTAGTAGATGAGCTCAGGAGGCATTTTCTGAAGTTTATGTGGTGCTCAGATTATGCATAAGAAATAGTGTCATTAACAATTTGACTTAAAAAATTCTGGATCCTTTAAACCCATTGAGGCAGCACATAACATTAGAATCCAGTGCATGGTGTTTAAACTTTGTTTCCCCAGAATTTAGAAGCTGGAAAAAGCTTCTCAAATCTTCCAGTTCAACTGTTGTTATTTAAAGAAGGGAAAGAGATAGAGGAGAAAAATTCCAGAAGTCAAAAGCTAAAACATCAGTGACAATAATACATGAAATGCCTACTACATCTGAGGTAACTATAGAGCTTTTGTTCTTTTCTTTTTTTCCTCATAAAACTCTTCCAAGATAGATATTATTATACCTATTTTGCAGATAGGAAAATCAGGGCCTCATTCTTCTTCTTCTTCTTCTTCTTCTTCTTCTTCTTCTTCTTCTTCTTCTTTTAAGAGAGAGAGAGAGAGAGTGTGTTTTAATATTTATTTTATAGTTTTTTTTTTTTTTCCGGCGGACACAACATCCTTGTTTGTATGTGGTGCTGAGGATCAAACCCAGGCCGCACGCATGCCAGGTGAGCGCGCTACCGCTTGAGCAGGGCCTCATTCTTAGGAATAAGTAGAGCAGGGATTTGAATCTTGCTTTGTCTGAATGCAGACTTCTACTTTCTCCAAGGGTTCAGCTTGCGTTTGTGTGTAAGCTTCAACCTGCTCCCTCCAGAACTGTGCAGGAGACCTGTTAATTTGAAAAGATATCAAGTTAGCACCCCATGGGCCTTAAAACTGAAATGTTTGCAACGCCTGCTCTGAGCAGATGTGCTGGGTTGCAGTTACCCTGTGATGTCTGTACCCAGACTGAAGATCCATATCAAGACAAGGAGCAAACCAAACCGTAACTGTGAGAAGAAGCTGCGATGGCTTTCCTCATTCTCTTCTTTTTTAAACAAACTAGACTGTCAGCATCGGTGTGAATGTTAAGTGCTTCACAGTAGTGACCCAGGAGCTAGTGCACTTGACCTAATTCAATCTCTTCTGCTTTTGTTCTCAGAGGCTGCCTCACCTTCTTGAAAAAAGAAAAAAAAAATCAATGCTGGCCAATCTATGTCTTTGTAGAGTGCATTTGACTTAGGAGACAGCCCTTTGGAGCTACATCCCGTGAATAAGGTGGGTGAACAAGCTGGATAATATTTTGAGTCATAAGTAAGCTGGGAATAGGGTGCAGTGATACTGATTTTGTCTTGTAGTTTATTAAACAGTCTCTGAAAGATTTTGTCAAGAGCTTCTAAAAGTGCTTTAACGAATGTCTGCAATGTTGGAAAAGCACATCAGCCGCCAAGGGTCTGCTTTGAAGGGTAATGGTCACTTGACTACATCAGCTCTGTCTGGGGTCTTTAAGAAGATGTTGAACCCTAACTATAGAGTCCAGTCTTGAATTATGACTTCAGGTGCTATCACCTTCTGCAATACGACTCTGTCTGCATTGTTATGAATTGTAGTTCTGCAATAAAAAGAACCAGGATGTGAGTGTTTGCTCAGTAAACATGGTTCTACAAGGCAAAGAAACCAGGATGCCAATGGCACCTCAGAATCCTGAGAACCTAATATTCACAGGAACAAAAAGTAATATGCCGAGTTACACTAAAAACTTAAAGAGAAAATAGACAATGAGATAAGCGGCAGGTGGGGTGGGGTGGGGTGGGGTGAATAATGTTTTTATGGTTCTGGCTCTAAGAGGGAAACCAGGAAATGTTTGAAATGATATTGTTATCTGGTTAGGGAGCCTGTTGTTTATAATGAATTAGAGGCACAAGGAGGAAGTCAGTCATGATATGTTTAGTCTGTGGCCTTTCTAAGATATTTCAATATTTAGAATTTTAAAGTGAACTTTGTATGAATGTCACTTTACACTGAAAGTGACACATCAGAATTAAGATATTTCTCTTAAGAAGAGTTAACATTTTATAATCCCCAAAATGAAATCTCTCAATCAGAAGGCATTGGTGTTTTAATAGTCTTTTATCATTTAGAGGGAAGCTGGGTAAGAATAATTGCAATATGTTTTAATGATCTGAGTATGAAACTTAGAGCATTCAGACCAGATTTTAGTACATATTTCCCATCTTCTGAAACCACTGAAAATGTTTTTTTTTTTT